CGGGCCCTGTGATCGGGACGCAGCTCTGCAGGTAGCCAGCTCCGTGTCCCGCCCGTGGTGCGGGGCCCGGCGGGGGCTCCCTGGCCCGCAGTGATGCCCCCCAGCCGCGGTCCCGGGTGACGGCCTGTCTGTCTCTCCCCAGGTGGAGGGACTGGCTTCGTGGGCAGAGCCCTGACCCAGCTGCTGCGGAGCCGCGGGCACCAAGTGACCCATGTGTCTCGACAGGGGGGCAAGGATCGGATCAGCTGGGTGCGAGAGGAGAGCGGTCACAGGAGGGAGCTGTGGCAGGGCTAAGGAACAAGCCAGCTTGCCCTGACCTGCCATGGCATAGAGGGAATCTGCCGCAGGGAAACTGGCTCCTGTGGATGTACTTTTGGGCTCCTGGGTGCTCCATGGGTCACAGTCATTGGGGCGGGTACTACTGTAGTTCCCAGGAGCAAAACCTTCTCGATTTGTGCTTGTGCTCCAGGCAGTGTCAGAAAGGAACTGGCTGGAGTTCTGAGGAGCCTGCCCTGCTTGGCTGTTGGGAAGGCCTGAGCAGAGGGCAGGCTTGCTATGTGGTGTCTCTGTTACTCCTGCCTAGGAAGAGGTGTCCCGCACTGGACTGCCCCTGTGCGATGCTGTGGTCAACTTGGCTGGCGAAAATGTGCTCAACCCTTTCCGCAGGTGACTTGATCTCTCACAGTGCTGTTGGGACAAGGTGACGGCAAGACAGTCCTGTGTTGTCAGAGAATGTGGAAAGGGAGGAAACAACATGTCCAGGAAGCTCTTGGGTTAACTAACTGTTGACATCTGTATCCTTAAATATCCAGAATATTTCTATTGGCCTGTTAGGTCCTGAGAGACCTTTGGAAGAAAGGTTCCATTCTGAATCTACAGCTGGAATTCAGAAAAATTAGTTCCATATTTCCAGAAGGGCATTAGATGCCTACATTTGATAATGCAAAATCAGAACCAAAGTTTGACTTCTGTGAGGAACACCATCTCTGGTGTCCAGCTGCTCTGCTGCCTTTGTCCTAAGGCAGTCCAAAACTCACAGTGTTCTGAGGGAAGTGAAAAGCCACCATCTCCCAAAGTTCCCCTGCATTTAGGTTGTAAGGTCACATGTCCTCCCACTGCTCTGGGGTGGGGGGAGTTCCCATGACTTCTGTGCTTGTGAGCACAGCTTGTCTGCTGGGGCCCCCCTTGGTGCTGTTGTTTCCTGGGTTATCCTTGTGAGGAGTATCATCTCTGGCTCTCTCATTCCCAGATGGGGTGCTGCCTTCTGCAGGGAAGTCATCAGCAGCCGGGTTGAGACCACAAAGACCTTGGCCAAAGCCATTGTTGATGCTGAACAGCCACCCCGTGCTTGGGTCCTCGTCACTGGCGTAGGTATTGGTTGGGTCTGGCCAGGACATGACTCGTGCTGACCTGAAGAGGTTTTACCTCCCGACAGAAACACACTTCCAGGGGAACACATCTTGCCCTGAAAAGTCAGCTTTATTGCCATCAGTGTCACTGTGTTTAGGCAAGCCTTGATCAGCTTTTTGGTACTGCTGAAGAGAAATTTGGGTCCCTATGCTTTCTCTTGGTGTCATTAGGACAGAATCTTTTCTGTGTTTTTCTGGGAAAGCCTTTAGGTATCCTGTAGAACCAATTTGTTTAGACAAATTGTATGGCCTCAGCTGAATCCCTCTGCATATCTGCAGCTTTGCATTTTTGCTTGCTACAGTCTTTAAAGCTGATGTGGTTTATCCTCTGTAATGCCCAATTTTAGGGCAGGTGCCATTCTGTGCAGCCAGTTCAGCGTGTTGCTTGCAGGCCTATTTGGCTTTTCGGGCTGCCAGCTCAACCTCAGTATCAGCGTATCCCACTGAACTCGTAGGGCACATCAGTAGTTTAAAAACTCATCAGCACTGCCATTAGAGAGACCCTGTGCTGTTCATGTGGGGGTGTCCCTGGTGGAGTGATGGAGTTCAGAAAATCATAGAATCCCAGAATGGTTTGGACTGGAAGGGACCTTAAAGACCATCCAGTTCCACCCCTGTGCCATAGGTAGAGAGTTTCCATTAGACCTGGTAGCTCCAAGCCCCGTCCAACCTGGCCTTGAATGCTTTCAAGGATGGGGCAGCCACAGTTTCTCTGGACAACCTGTGCCAGTGCCTTCCCACTCTCACAGGGAAGAATTTCTTCCTTGTATCCAGTCTAAACCTACTGTGTGAAGCCATTCACCCTTCTCCTGTCAGTCATTGTAAATAGTGTTTCTTCAGCTTTCTTGTCAGCTCTCTTCAGGCACTGGAAGGCCACAAGTAGGTCACCCTGAAGTCATTTCTTTCCAAGCTGAACAATCCCAATTGTTTCAGCCTTTTCTCATAGGAGTTCTGGGCTCCGTTGGGGAAGGGGGGTTGGTTTCATCATTCAACTCTGACCCCATTTCTGCTGTTACCCTTCAGGCTATTACTGTCCCAGCCCCACAGCTGAGTATACTGAAGACAGTCCTGGAGGGGATTTCGACTTCTTCTCACGCCTGGTGAGCTCCTGGGAGGCTGCAGCTCTCATCCCTGGGAGCCCAACTCGTGGAGTTGTGGTGAGATCAGGTGAGATCAGGTCCCTGAGGGGCCTATTTGGGTGACTCTGCTTTGGTTTGGGGGCAGGAGGGTGAGGAGGTGGGAAAAGGACACGAGTTCTTCCGTCTGTTCTTGCTGGGGTCTTGTTCCAGTCCAGCCCTCTAAGGATTGTCTCCTGCTTGCAGGTCTGGGCATGAAGGGCACTTTTGCCCTTTTGGGCAGGGGACCTGGTGTCACTCTCTTGTCCCCACAGGTGTAGTGCTGGGTCGAGGTGGTGGTGCAATCTCTCAGATGCTTTGGCCTTTCCGTCTGGGACTTGGAGGCCCCTTAGGCTCTGGGCTCCAGCCCTTCCCATGGATCCATATTCGGGACCTGGCTGGGATCGTGTGTCACGCCCTGGAGAGTGAGAGCCTGCGAGGTGTCCTCAACGGTGTCGCCCCATCCTCCCCTGCCACCTCCAACGGCACCTTTGCTCAGGAGTTGGCTGCAGCCCTGGGGCGCCCAGCCCTGCTGCCAGTGCCTGCCTGGGCTGTGCGGGCTGCCTTTGGGGCAGAGCGGGCTGTCATGCTACTGGAGGGACAGAGGGTGCTGCCAAAACGCACCCTGGAAAGCGGCTACCACTTCATCTTCCCTGACCTGGCTGGAGCTCTGAAGGACATTGTGGCTTGAGGCCTCCTCGGCTGGGCTGGGCCCTGTTTTTGTGAGCTCACATGCGTTCCCCTGGGTGAAGGAGAGCAGCCCTGCCCCTGGACACTTCCCCTTCCCCATCCCCATCCACAGAGGGTGAGCGATGTTTTCCCCATCTGCCTCCCTGTGTGCACCCCCAGTTTGAGTCATCCCTCTTACTGCCATCTGCAATCTCTGCGTTACCTGCATTTGGGGAAGGGCACAAGCCCCTCTAAGGATTGTGACTGTGGAATTGCATATCTTTCCTTTTCCACAATATGTATGTGAACTGCTGGCAAAGCAGCTGGGGCTGTAATGTCCTCTTCCCTGAGAGGTGGCTGGCAGCATGAAACTGGTTGTAATTATCAGCTTTGTAATACTTCCATTGAAGTTTTCCCTCCTGTCTTTCCTCCATGATGACATAGAAACCTACTTATGCTCTTCTACTTTGCCTTTCTCAGTCTCAGTGGTTGTGGGAGAAGATCCATCTTTAGAGGATGTTACACTCCAGTTTTTAAGCTATAAGATGCCCAGAGTGGTTACATTTTTATTTAAGACTTTGTAAAAAGCCCTTTGTTTCATTATAACCTCAAATTAGTGTCTGGAGAAAGAGTCACACACTCTTCTCTAAGAGAAATTCTTTTATGTTAGTGAGGAAAATAAGATATTTTGGCAAAGGGTTTTACAGGAGTAAAATACAACCAGGAAAAAAGCATTTCACTAAAACATTCAGCACAAAAACCCATTCCACAGAAAACACTCACTACAAACAATCAATATACCAGCTTTAGTGAAACACAGTTCATTGGTGGTGTTACTCACAAGAGCAGGGAAAGAGTAAAAGAAGAAAAGGGATTAAAGAGTAAAGAGAGAAGGAAAAGAGGAGAGAGAGAGAAAAGGAAAAATGGTTACTGACAAAATCTGATGGTTCACATAGTTCAGGCTGCAGGAAAGAAGGCGGTGGCACATATGGAGTCTCATGTATTTACAGAGTTCAGTTTTCCCTCCCAGATGGGATATATCACCATTTAGAGCTTTCCAGGCCAGAGTGAGTTGTGCTGTAGCCACTCACAGGCTGCAGGGCTGTGGTGTGGGTGGGCTGCCTTCAGCTCTGCCCTGACTGACAGCCCAGCTACAGGCCCTCAGCCCTGCCAGGTGCTCTCAGCAGGCCTTACAGTGTTCCTGCAGGTATAGGCCCAGCTCTTCTTCACACACACAGTTAGTTCTAACCCATGTCAATCATGCAGTGAGATTCAGATCCGTTATCTCTGGGAGTACAAAGGGTGCTGAATACAGATTGCTTGGAGGCTCTTTTCTTGTGACTGGTACCAAGTTGATGTGTCAGTACCTCCAGCTGAGACTGATCCCAAGAGTTACACCCCTCCAGGGTTGCATGCCCCTTGTGCTGTGGCAGGGATGAAGGAGAACACTACTTTTTTAGGGAAAAGGGTGCTATGGGACCGTGGTCCCTGGACTGCTCTTGAGGCCTTGGCTAAATGGCCACTACATCCAAGCTTGTGCTGAGGAGAAACTGGGTTCATCTTGCTGTGAGATAGTGCAAGTCACTGCTTTAGTCTGAAGGAGCATTTTCAGCTATTGCCTTCGTTGTACTTATCTCAGACCAGTGTGGTTTTGTTGTGTTCATCCCATGAGGTGGTACTTGTGCTCAGGGGTTTCCCCCTGACTGGGCAGTGAGAATATCCAGGCTGCCTGGGCTGCCCTGGGGAGCAGTACCTCTCATGGAGAAGATTGCAATTTCATTGTCTCATACTGTAAGGAAATGTATCCCTTTGCTTCCCTTAACCCTCTGTGAAATCCACAGAGCAGGTACATTCAGTATAGCACTGCTTCTGGGGAAATATTCCTAGTGTGATGTAATTTGGGGCTAGAAAATTCCATTAAAAGGTAGTTCAGGCAGATAAAAAAACCTGCTTTGTTTCTGAAATAAGAAACCATCCAGAACAAAGCAGTCCATGTATTTCTGGTTTAGGTCAGGTTAATGTAGTTGCAGTAGCTGAAGGATCAGTCTTGGTGAAGTCCACTCTCTTGCCTCTTTGCTCAGTCTATACTGGAAATAGAATGGCAATCTGCTGGCTTTCCAGGCAGGAAAATTACAATGTGACTGTCTAGATGTAACTGGAGATAGTCCTTGCAGTCAGTGTAAGAACAGGCAGGTGAAATGGTACTTCAGGAATAGCCATGAAAGCAACGTGGTCTGAGATAAATGTGGTTTGCTTGCACTGTGTCTGTGTTGCCTGTAAGTTAGGTGCAGGTTTCTTCTTCCCATATTCTTCAGCCTCCTGTCCATGAGAGCAGGCTGACCTACTCTGAGGTACAGACCCAGTTCCTTGTGGGACACTCAGCAGTGCTGCTCTAGTTACTCCAGCTGCCTTTATAGGGCTCAGGCTTCAGTCATCTCTCACAAATGCTGTGGCCTGCAGCATCCTTCTGTCCTCCAAGCTGATTAGCCAGCCCAGTTAGGATGTTTCTGTAGCAGTATATACCTTGGTGATTACAATAGCTTTGGGTTGTGATTGGAAATTAAAACAAGGTGGCTGGAGAAGAACTGTCAATCTGCTGCTCTTCTGAAAGAGGGTTTGTATCCCACAGAAGACTGCTATAAGCAGAGTTCCTAGGCCTTGGACTCCCCAGCTGGATGTTTAACTCAGAATTTTTGAAAGGTTGCCTCTTCATGGTGTTTGGCTTAAACACGTCACAGGTCTTATCTGCCCCGTCTGCCTTCAGTACTGGTCCCAGATCCGTGCATGCTGGCCCCCCAGTAGCTGGCACTTAGCCCTTGCGGTGCTCCCATGGGGCAGTGAGGTTGTGCAGAGAGTTATGGAAAGATTGAATAAGCTAGGACAGGTTGTGTTGGTCACGTGTAGAGCCCAGTCAGACCAGCACTGACTGGCCCTGGTTTATACCCAGCCAGCCTCTTAGAACCCTTTTCTGTCTAACCCCCTTTTGGCTGCTCCCTGCCTGTTCCCTCAACTACACATCCAACATCCTGGCTATTCGAATTTGCATCCTTAGTTGCAAAGTCCTGGCTGCCTATAGCTTCTTGAGAGCTCATCAGCTGGTGTGAATGGTGCCATTTTTTCTGGTTATTTGCTTTGTTAATGTTAATTGGCCAGGTTTTCTCTGTTTTATTTCCCTCCCTTTCCTTCCCTGCTCTAAAAATAAATGTTCTCAGCCTTCCTCCACACATCCTTACCCCTTCAGGTGACTGATCAGGTTTGTTCTCATCACGTCTGGCTCCCCATCATGTGTCTGGTTTATCTCTGTGTTGTTTATGGTTCCTGTGACCAGATATCCCTAAACGAGCAGACGTGCTCCTTCCACATCCCCTGATACTACCCCACTGCCAGGAATTTTGGCAGAAGCTGCACTCCTCCTTGCTCTGCTTAAGCCCAGATGGGCCTCCCTATGGGCTGTGCCCATGGGGGCAATGACCCCTCTGGGCACTGGAGGGGCTGTGTGTGCAGGGGCTGCAATCACTTGCCCCTCGTCAGAGGCAATAGGCAGGAACATGCTGAGACACTTTAAATCAGTAGCACCTCTGTAAGTGTGTCAGTTTGTACAGGCAAGTCCAGTGTATGATAGCTACATCTCTCCAGGCACTGGGACATGGGATGTCTGCGGCCAGGTGGGTCCTGGGGTTTTGGTCTCATTCCACCAGAGCTGAGTGACCTGCACTGGTGCCTTGCTTTGTGGTTAGCTTTGGGCTGACTGCTGGGTTGCACTGCAGGAACAAAGACAGCTTAATTCTGAGTTTTTAGAACCACTCATAGTTCTACACCATTTGCACTGTTAATTCACCCTACACATTCTTTCTCAAATTGTAAGACATTGCTGTTTTCCTAATTGAAGTTGTCATTTCCCTTCCTTGTACCTCTTGATTTCCACTGAACCATGGTTCAGACTTGACTGGGACAATTTTCCGAGATTGTAGGAGCATGTTGCGACTACCCTTCCTATAGATTTCCCAGTCTAACCCAAATGTCCTCTCTCACAGCTTAAAAAATTGTAAATCTGAAGCTGAAATTCAAAGCAAGCATGTAGCTCCCAAATTCCATAATGTAGTCTCCAACCACATACTTGCACCCTTCTCCTACTGATCTGTATGGAGCATGTATTGGTTCAAAACACACACACACACGGTCTCAGAAACATGGACAAAGACATGCACATTCCTCACAATTGAAACTGGTAGTACTCGGGCAGGAGGGAGGGAAAGAAAATCTATTGGTAAGGATACCATAATTCGATGCAGTTATTTCCTTTCTAAGGTCAAGGATTTCTTTTATGACAAGTCAAAAGGACCAAACAAGGCCTGTCATTACTTCCGATATTTCAGGATAGTGTTTTTTCTCACTTGGTAGTGTGCTAATCTGCCTTCAGTTGTTCAGGGGTATATGGTGAAAGTTGGTATGGACAGGTGTAGATGTTGTTCCCCTTTCTGATCTCCCAAAGCCATCTTATTGCAAACTACACCTGAGGAGCCCCTTTTATACCCCTGTCAACACCCCATTGCCCTGTCCCCTGTGCACCCCTCATGGCTTTGTACATCTCTATCTATTCCCTTCCAGCCTGTGACTGCATCCAGGGTCTCCCCTGTTTCACAATCTCTAACAGTTGCAAAGTCCACATCCCTGAAGGGGAACCTGTGGTTTCTTGATAGCCCATCAATTAGTGTGAGTGGTCAGGCTTGTTTCTTCTTGTAGTCTCCATGTTTGTTTTTGTGAGGTTTGTGTCTGTATTTTAGTTTATTGTCTCCATTCTTCTTCTTGTTCTATTTGAGGTGGTTTCTGATCACATAAAACTCACTGTACTAAACATTCTCACACTCCAACATGCCCTCATCAATTAGTGTGACTGACCAGGTTTGGTTCTCATCACTGCCTCCCTTATTTGTCTGTCAGGTTATATCCCAGTAATGTTTATGGCTTTCTCCATTTCTTACTATCTCTTTTTTTTTTTTGCGTGGAGATGGTCCTTGGCTAGATACCCTTAAAGCAGCAGATATTCTTCCACATAGCCTTATGCAGGGGACCCGTGTGAGTCCTGCTGGCAGCTGCAGCAGGATCGTGGGCCACAGACCGTGTGCCTGGTGAGGGGGTGAGTGTCTGCGTCCCCCACAGCCTGGGTGTGCTTGGCAGATGTGTCTTTATTCACCTGTAGGCTTCAAGCTAGACCAGCATGGAGTAGGAGGCCTTGTGTCTAAGCAGGGATATCAGGCAGACAGGGACAGCAGAGGAATTTATAAATCAGCATGGAAAATCAGAGTATCTTGTAACAGAAAATAAATCATGTGAAGAGTCATGAAAAGAGCCCCAAATTCTCAGACAGACCTGATAATTCAGCTGTTGCTGAGTATGGTAGCCCTACAGATTAAAAAAATAGAATGATCTATACTTTGTTTCCCTGTGCTTTTTTTCATTTTGGGTAGCAATGATGATTAAAATTTGTGAGCA